TTCCCGGAGGAGAATGTGGATGCAGGGCTGGGAGCGGCGGCCGAGATTAACCCTGTGCTGTCCTGCCCGGGTGGAGATGGGATCATCCCAAACATCCCCGGGGATCCGTGTGGGATCATCCCAAACATCCCCGGGGATCCGTGTGGGATCATCCCAAACATCCCCGGGGATCCGTGTGGGATCATCCCAAACATTCCATGGGATTTGTGTGGGATCATCCCAAACATCCCCGGGATCCCTGTGGGATCATCCCAAACATCCCCGGGGATCTGTTTGGGATCATCTCAAGCATTCCATGGGATCCGTGTGGGATCAATAGGGTCTGTGGGATCAATGGGATCCATGTGGGATCAATTGGATCAATGGGATCCGTGTGGGATCAATGGGATCCGTGTGGGATCAATGGGATCCGTGTGGGATCCGTGTGGGATCATTGGGATCCGTGTGGGATCAGTGGGGTGGGACAATCCCTGCCCACAGGGGCTGTGCCGTGGTCTTGGGGCCTGTGGGGATTTCCTGGGATGCTCCTCATGGAATGAAGAGGTGCAGAGGCCAAGGCCTGGACAAGGGAAGTTTCCCAAACCCCTTCCAGCTGATCCGTCCTGCTGGGGTGACATCTGGGGTGACATCTGGGGTGACACCTGGGACTCAGTTCTGGGAAAATTTTGGACTCGATGACCTTGGGGGGAGCTCTTCCAACGAAGCCATTCCATGATTCCATGATGAGGTGGCTCCTGGATGTCACCTGTGCCCGTGTCCTGTCCCCTGGGTCACCTTTAGGGCTGACAGTCCCCTCACTGCCCTGCCTCGCTCCCTCATCCCATGGGAACATTTTGTTTTCCCTCTGGAAGGAAAAGATGGGATTGATAGGAAGGAGCCAAGGCAGTGCTGGCAGTTCCTGCAGCCAGGGAAAAGCTGGAAGAGCTCTTGGAACTGCTCACGATTCCCGTTTGGGTTCTCTCTCTTCTCAGCAGGCACGTGGGCACAGCTCTGCCCTTGGCATCGTCACCTGCCAGCTCCTGGCAACTCCCTGGGAAAGTGCTTCCATCCCTCAATTATGGCAGGAAAAATCCCATCCTTCAATTAGGACGGGAAAAATCCCATCCCTCAATTAGGACAGGAGAAGTCCAATCCCTAAATTAGGATGGGAAGAATCCCATCCCTCATTTAGGACGGGAAACGTCCCATCCCTAAATTCTGAGAGGAACAATTGGAGGCAGGAAGGGTCCTGTTCCCTCCTGTGTCCCACATATCCCGATCCCATTATCCCATCCCTGTCCCACACATCCCGATCCCATTATCCCATCCCTGTCCCACACATCCCGATCCCATTATCCCATCCCTATCCCACACATCCCAGTCCCATTCCTGACTCCCACTCGGCCCCGGATCCCGGACTGCGGAGCGGAGCCGGGATTGCCGGGAGAGCAGCGACACCTGGTGACACTCGGGATATCGGGATAGAGACACCGGGATAGCGGGATACAGGCACAGGGATATCGGGATAGAGACACCGGGATATCGGGATACCAGGATATCGGGATACAGGCACGGGGATAGCGGAGTACAGACACCGGGATAGCGGGATATCAGGATACAGGCACTGGGATACCGGGATACAGGCACTGGGATACCGGGATATCAGGATACAGGCACTGGGGTATCGGGATACAGGCACTGGGATATCGGGATACAGGCACTGGGATACCGGGAATGTGCCCGGGCACAGCCACGCGCTCCGGGCAGCCCCTTCCCCACCGCTTCCCCTTTCCAAGGGCACAGATCCCATTCCCAAATCCAGCAGCACCGGGACTCGCTGTCACTGCAAAGCTCTTG